ACATTTCTATCTATCAGATTAAGTCCCATAAGTTGCGTCCGTTTTAGTTTTCAATTCATTTTGATTTTTGATTACATTTTGATTTTAGATAAGTATCGAGGTACCTTTTGATAGAGCAAAGGAAGCTATACAAGGCAAAGTTCTTGCTTTCGTACCAATTTATATCCATCTTGAGTTTGAAGCCAAAAACCAAAAAGATCCAACCGCTCGAAAAATAAAGGAAAGATCATATTTTGTCCAAAAAACCTAGAGAAATCCTAACTTGCTCACAGATACACTACCCACATCAGGCATTTATATAAATACTAGCTGGCAAACCCGGCTTCGCCCGGCCCTGTCAATAATATATTCGTAATTAGCATGCTCACTTAACCCCCCCCCCCTGTGCCAACTCCACTACGACACCCGCCCGGCCCCGAAGTGTATGTGTGAAAAGTTTGGTCCGGATCGGTTCAGAAGCGGAATTTTCTATTCGGAAATACAAACAGACATACAAACAGACATTCAGCTTTATATATAAGATATACTATTGCTGTATTTTTTGGGTAGAAACCGAGAAAACGAAAATTTACTGTTTTTGCCAAAATGATGCTGTGCTGTTCCCACATTGGTAGTACTACAGACCAGTACAAGTACAGAGACGAATTTTCAGCGCTCTACAGACTTTGATTTTCGAGAAACATCGGATTTAGCTTTGCTTAGTCGGGTGTCCCATACTAAAACGATTATCTCGGACTAAAACCTGTAGAGCTCTGAAAATTCATGTCTGTACTTGTGCTGGTCTGCAATACACAACTACCAATGCGGAAATACTTTGGCAAAGCACAGCACCACTTTGGCAAAAACATGAAAATTCTCGTTTTCTTATTTCTGTTCAAGGAAAAAATACAGCAATAGTATGTTTATATATCTGATATGGATAGTGCTTCTGTGAGCAGTTTTAGAATTTTCTAGGATTGTTTGAACGGAATCACGATATTTCCTCTTCTTTTCGGGCGAATGGATCTAATTTTATTGTCCGGAAATTAATGCCTGTTTTGAATTTCAACCGTAATAAGTCATACACTTCTCACTTCCAAATGTGTTGCAAAGTAAAGTTCGATAAAGCAAAGCAAGCTCTCAAGTTGGCGATCTTGCTTTTGCAACAGCTCTCATCCACCTCGAGTTTTGAGCCAAAACTAAAAAGACAGCAGCTCGAAAAATCGAAACAAATTGTGACTCATTGTCAGTTCATAAAAATCCTGCAAAAACTCTTACTTGCTCACGTAAACACTCCACATAAAGCAACTATATACGCCTTTGCCGTACTTTTTCCTTCGTTAGGAGTCAAAAAACGGAAATTTTCCTGCATTTGCCAAAGTGGTGTTGTGCAGTCCCCACATAGGTAGTTGTGTAACACAAGTTTGTAGAAGTACACACTTAAATTTTCAGCTCTCTACATGCTTTAGTTCTCGAGAAATACCGAATATAGCTTTCCCTAGTTAGGTGGCCCAAGCTAAAATTCAAATTTTTGGAGAACTAAAGCTTGTAGAGAGTTGAGAATTTGCGTTTGTACTTCTACAGGTTTGCAGTATACAACTACCTATGTGGGAACTGCACAACACCACTTTGGCAAATGCATGAAAATTTCCGTTTTCTTGATTTCTAACAGAGGAGAAAATACGGCAAAGGCGTATATGTATGCCCTATGTGGATTGTGTTTACGTGAGCAAGTTGAAATTTTTGTAGGATTTTTATGAGCTGAGTTATGATTTCTTCCGATTTTTCGGGCTGCTGAGTCTTTCTGGTTTTTGTCTCAAAACTCGAAGTAGATGAGAGCTGTTGCAAAAGCAAGATGGCCATCATGTAGAGCTTGCTTTGCTCTATCGAACTGTACTTTGCAACCCATTTAGAAATGAGAAGTGTATGACTTATTGCGGTTGAAATTCAAAACGGGCATTGATTTCCGGACAACCTAATAGTTTTTGGCTTCAGACTGGAAATGGTTTTGAACTGGTGCAAAAGCAAGAACACGACCTTGTAAAGGTTGCTTTGCTCTGTCAAGTGGTACCTTGAAACCTATCTATTTCATAAATTCATCACTTACTGCGATTGAAAGTTAAAACAGACGGAACTCATAACCTTATAGTTCCTCTTTTAGGGTTGCTGCACTTCTCCATTTTTGGCGCGCTTTAGGGACTTATGCGTTTAACGTCTTGCAGGCTGGTATCCTCCCCAAAGCGGCTGTGTCAGCAGCACAAGGTACGATCGGTCAGCGCGCTCTTCCGCAAACACGGATAATATTGGTTAATTTAGGGCCTCTCAGCCACTCATAGAAGATAGATGTACGTTTTTGTTGCCTGTAACTGAAGCGATTATAATGCCCCTAGTAAAGTCAACGAGCTTATACGATTATACTGCCCCTAGTGAAGTCAACGAGCTGTATACGCCTAATATGATGACCAGTAAGGTCTTCTGAAATACTTGTAGGTATGACTCACTAACTTGACTGTAAGTTTTATGGTATTTTGGAGCAATTTGGGACGAACTCAGGCAGCAATCAGATATAATAGAGAATGCCTGCTATGTGCGTTTCAGCAAACGATGAACAACATATGCTAACTGAGGTACGCAAAAACTGGTAAACCTCGTTTCACTTTATTATAATGTTATGCTTTTTGTGAAAGTGCATATTATCGAGTTGATGCACAAATGATGCATGATCCTTACCCTATCACGGCAGAGAAGACATAAAAAAGTATCGTTATAGAATAAAGCAGCTTCATCGAATGACGTTCATCGCAAGAAGCTTGATACACGGAAGATAGATTGATGCGTACACTCACAGAACAAAAATTCGAAAATTCTCAGGTGCACAAAAATCTGAATTTTTTTCTACTTTACCTATCGCGTCAGCTATTCATATGCACACTCATTTTTGCATATCTACTAGTTGAGAAAATAAAGACTGGCATGTTCTAGCAAAAGCAATGGACTGTTTCGACTTAAGTTATTCCATACTACACAACTTTATGAGCATAATAATATACCTTCACTTTCCTGTAAGACCTAGTTGTCGAGAAATATGCAAATTAACAAAAGTCCGAGAAAGCGAAAAAAGTTTTTGTATACCTAGCTAATTTTTTTCGAACTTTCTGCTATGAAAAGAATGCGGCCAGTGTGGATAGATAAGAATGTCTGATGTGGATAGCATGCATGACCAAGTTTGACGTTTGCAGGATTCTAAAAGGAGGTTCTGGTTTTTGGATACTCAAAGTTATTTTGAATTTTAAATATTTTCAAGTCAAAGTCAAAGTTATTTTGAATTTCTTTTCCAAACTTCTCGTGTATCGAACTTATTGCGATTGTTCAACGGAGCTTGCTACCATTATAAGGAGCTTGCTCTGCTTATCAAATGATACAATTTACAGTACGAGTTTCATATCTTTTCTGCAGCGGCAGGATAAGGGACATGCTTAAATTTGCATTAACCTGATAACAATTTAGTTCTGTATATCAGGTCCTTGAGGTGGGGTTCTAATTCTTCAATCTTTCCTCGCATGCTTTTAGAAAATGTAGGCAATCCTCTTATTTTGAAAAGAATTTCATCCGTTTTACCATGGAGATGCTCTTGCGAGAGCAGACTTGACTGTTACGAGCTTCTCTATTAGCTCGGTGCAACCGCAGCAAGAATATTGAAAGGAAATGCCATGCAAGCATAAACTCTAACAAATCGAAAAAAAATTTGAGTGTGCATCCACAGTTGTCAGTGTGGTTACAAAGTTCGCGGCACGTTCTTAAATAGTTAGATAGCTAGATAATTCTGTTTCTTGTGACATACCGATCACGTACGTTACTTCATCACATGTCTCTACATCAGCTCTCGAATTTGGCTGAGTGCACTGCACACGAGCGTCAGTGTTTATAAACTTGTTAAGCTTGGAGTTGGGCCAGATTTTGCTGGGAAAGCGCTTACGCGACGTACGCAGCGTACGCTCGGTATGTTTCATCGTAGGAGCGTACGCGATGCACGCTGCGCACGCCGCTTTAGGCTAGGTTCATACTGATTCCCTTACGGAAATGTTCCCGCACAGTTCCGCAGTGTGCTGGAACTGTTCCGGAACTGTGCTGCATGTGCTGCAGCCGCCCGGCACGCTTTTCAAACGGCGGGAGTTGGAAAACTTTGACCGTTTTCAACGTTTTTTCTTCCAGATTCCTCGTATTTTGGCCTTATTCCTCTACCCCGCTTCCCTTTTTCGATAGGCAGAACTTTGAACTGGAATCGGGGTCGAAGAATGAGCGCTTTTCTGCTTTGCGTATCAGACAAAATGTCTGTTCTTGCGCTTGTCCATTCGCTTGTTTTCTTTCTGTGCAAACCTTCCCATTTGTTTCAGGAAGCCGATGCGTAGTTTCACAGGCATCTATCTCGAATCAGGAAATGCGAACATTCTGAAAATGCGAAAATGGGAACTTTGCTCTTGTTATCTGATGAATTTCGTTTTTGGGCATTCTCAATTTCTATCCTTTTTTCATATAGGGGCCTGCAGGAGCGCGAGAGTCGAACGTGCGTATGGCCATTGCGCCGCGCACGTCCGATGTCACTAAAGCAGGTGCCAGACTCATCCGCTTCAGCCGATTCGTTCGGTTCATAGGTCAAATCACTACACTGTCCAACAGCAAAGGTGGTGAACAGAACCTGTTCAACAGGATAAGTCTGGCACCTACCTGAGTCGTCGGACGCACATCTGACGTGCGCGGCGCAATGGCCGTACGCACGTCCGACTCTCGCGATTCTGCAGGCCCATATATCGTTGCTTCTCCGTTCTCTCTTCTACCCCGCTTCTCCTAGTGATAGAAATGCTGCAAACTTGAAGCGGAGCTGAAGAGAGATCCGGATAATCAAAGAAGAACAACGTTCATTCCTCAACCCCGCATCAAGTTCACGTCTCACCATCAACCGGGGTAGAGGAATAAGAGATTAGATTGGACAATCTAAGGCTCAAAGGGGATAGTTTCGGTGTTTACGAAAACTTTCCTGAAAGTGATAGATCCTCAGCTTCATCCCATTTGTTACTCATGGCAACCCATTTTTTCAATTCTCTGCATATCTTACGAGTTCCATATGTGAGCGAGCCATCCTCTTTTTTTGTCATCGGCTTTTTGCTGACTAAAGTTGACACCCAGTTGGACACTTACCACAGCACGCATATTTGGCCACACAATAAGAGTCATCCGGTTGAGAGAGATGAAGAACGTCATATAAATCTGCGAGAAGGCCAAATGAGTTGCAAGGCATTTGGACTGAAAGTAACTTGTGAACCTATAATTGATACCTCGTTGCTAAAAGTAAGTCGAGTGGCAGTGGCACTAATTGTAAAGCTTTGATGAGAATGGTTGGCAAAAGGCAACTTACTATTCGTACAGCTGCTTCAGGAGCACGCGTGTAAATTCTGCGCCACCAGCTGGTATCCTTGGTTTCATTTGCTAGCTGTACATAATAAAAGCTATTAGTGAATACAATGATGTTCTGAAACATATTCAGTCAGTCGCAACGAGAAACTACAGTGAAATTTTCACAAAAGAAATGTTTGAAGTATTGAGTTTTCCCAAAAGTGCATGCTTCTAGCCGAGGTCGAGTTTCGTTGCTTTTCTAAATTATGGTGTCCGCACCCGATGGGTACAAATAAGAGATGGATGTATCAAATCCAACAAAAGAGAATGTCATTTCTTCACAGCTTCAAACAACTTTGCAGAGTCATTTTCAAAAACGATAGTAGCAAATGATTTTGAGCATACTTCTCTATGATTTTGAGAATTTAACGTTTGACTGATGTTAAACTCTAATTATGCAATAACCTCAAACCCCCAAGCTTTATCTTATATATAAAGCTGAATGTCTGTTTGTCTGTCTGTCTGTATGTCTGTCTGTATGTCTGTCTGTCTGTGTGTACGTATGTTCCGAATAGAAAATTCCATTTCTGAACCGATCCGGACCAAACTTGGCACACATACACTACGGGCCCCGGCGGGTGTCATAGGCTACTTTTCGTCATCGATCGATATCGATTTTATCGATTTTTATCGATTTTTTGCTGAGTTCACCTACGGGGCTGGGAGTTGGCACAGGGGGTAGTCGAGCATGCTGATCATCCCCAAGGGGGGTGATCAGCATGCTCGATTACACTCCTGTGCCAAATTCCAGCCCCCTAGCTCAAATTTTCAAAAAATCGATAAAATCGAAAAGTAATGGACGATCCTGAAAACTAATATTGTGTTCGTAATCAGCATGCTCGATTACCCCCCTGTGCAAACTCCCAGCCCCGCAGGTCAAACTTTACAAAAAAAATCGATAAAATCGATAAAAGTAATGGACGATCCTGAAAACTAATGTTGTATTCGGAATCCCCATGCTCACTTCCCCCCCTGTGCCAACTCCTAGCCCTGTAGGTGAACTCTGCAAAAAAAATCGATAAAAATCGGTAAAATCGACATGGATCGATAACGAAAAGTGGACTGTGACACCCGCCGGGGCCCGAAGTGTATGTGTGCCAAGTTTGGTCCGGATACGGCGGAGCCGGGTAAGCCAGCTAGTTCGCTTATAAAAATGTGGTTTTATATCGGAAAAACACGGAGTGGATTGTTGTTAAAGACCAAGGTGTTGAAACATTCCTAAAAAATTACGAATGTTCGGTAAGAAGCAAGAAAGAAAGGGCACAAGTTGTGTTTGCGTGCTATATAAGCATTTCTACGAATTATGACGAAAAATTTAGAAATGGTGGAATTTAGGCCTGCTAGCGGAGCCAGCTAAAAACCATAAAACTTTTTTTCAAAATTGTTCATTCCAACTTGAAAACATATGAGGTGAAAAAGGAGAGAGAGTGCTTAGTGTGACTTTCGTCTGACATGAAAAAGGAGACAGACTGCTTAGTGTGACTTTCGTCTGACAATTCTCGTTGGATGCTGCGCTTATCAAACGCCAATTTCTCCAGAACAACCCAATATTTTGCACTGAAAACTTGCCGTGATCGCTTGTATAAGAAGTAAAGAATAAAAGGATCCAAAAAGTCGTTGCTTTTCCTTGTATAAGACGATAACTACGGCGATGTATAATATGATGGATGGTACGAGATAAATAAGTCTAATGTAGAGCATAAAATCTTTGCGATTCTGAAATAAACAGGATCAATGCTCAAAAGACAGTCTTCCATTTCAATACAAAAAAACAATTGCGTAGCCTTTGAAATATTTTGTAATAAAAAGTAAGATAACGCACAAATGACAAGTTTCCCTTATGCACGACAGAAGAACACTCCTAAGAATGTAATTGTTGATTGTTTGATTAGTCGCTAATGTTGTGATCGCTGAGCCGGTGATTGGCCGCGTTTGAGCTTTGATTGTAGCGATGTTATTCCCAGTAGAAATAATCTTTCCTCCATTACTAGAGTAGCATTGGCCAGCACATTTTAGCAGTATTTCAAAGAAGAAGATTTTTTGAATTATATTTATTGTCGGCATGTAAAATATAATCGAATATATAGATTGATGAGCATTTTTGTGAAGCAAAGTAGTAATAGATGGTATTTGCAGTCTTCTAGCTATTGTGATTCTAGTAAAGTGGCACGTGAAGGACACTACTGTACACACTGGCTATCAACATTTTTACACAAATGCGAAGTTAAAATAGTGAATTAAATTCTATACGAGAATGGAAGCCAGGTTGAACAAGATAAGTAGGAAAAGCATGCACAAATTATTGCAAAGCAGTAAGTAGATGAAGTGAACTTGTGAGCTCACCGAAGCACGGTATGCATGACTCAAATAATTCATTATGGTACGTGTTTCGGTTCAACACATCAAAAAGGATGACTTTTGTGTCAATGCAAAGCAAATGATTACACCTCGGGTTTTAGAAAATCTATCTTCAAAGCCTATATAGAAGGTATGACTTGTTTGCGAGGCTGAATATTATTTGATTGAAGATGGAAATTTACTCGTCAGCTTCCTCGAGAAGAGTGAGTAATGCAGCTTGTACAAATCACGTACAGGTGCAAAACGTTTCCCAAATGTTAGGCAGATGCAATTAATCATATGCTCAAAGTGAAATCAATGTAATAGCATTGCAGATTCTCTAGATGTTTCAGACCTCAACAAGATCAGAAGTACAAAAGCGAAGGTGTCTAATAGTTTTGCATCGCACTTTATTCACGGATTGTAATGACAGCTAGCAGAAACACATTGGTTTATCTGTTCGAATGGTGAACCTACTGTTCATACAAACACATTCCTACGAAGAAGTTGCTAAATTGAAAGACTGAGTTGAATCACTACATTTGAAGATCAGTACTTCAAAGATACTCCAAATTCGATTGCAAACTCCAAAACTTTTGGAACATTTAAGACGAGAGCGAATAAATATTATAGGCTGCGATATAATCAGTTAAACACCAGAAGCACAAGTTTGTGTGGAGCCTTCCGATTAGCAATGAAAGTTGAGGATAAGTTGTTCATTAGATGCGCAAAAAGAAGTAATGATTTCTAACAAGGTGGAGACCATTATACAGATTTGGGTGGAAGGATTGAGTGCTTGTGGTAGAACACATTATGCATGATCGCCGTGATTGTAAAATATTGATAAGCTTCAGCTCGAAACATTGACACGGTTTTGCAGAGCGTTTTGGATCTTCCGTTATCTTTTTAAGCAAAAACTCTATAATTTCTTGCTTTGCTCAAAACTTTCTTGTTTACAACTAGGCAGCTTCATTATCAAAATTTATCGTAGCAAAATACTTTGGAATCCAATAAAGAAACTTGTCAGTTTTATTTGATTTACCATCTAAAACTTTGTTAAGAATTCCAAAGAGTTTGCAACATCTTAAGAGCAGGAAATATTTTATTTCTGCCCACTTTTTGAATACTTGTTATAACGTGTCCAAAAACTGTGTTTAAAAAGAGAAGTACGTTGTTTGCATTCACCTCAAACCTGTCTTTTGGTTTGAGCCGCTTTTAGTTGAGTTAACTAACAACAAACAACCAATTGTTTCTATTGATGAGCAGGTACACGGCAAAGGGTAGAAGATAACAAGGCGATGGACAGTAACCTTTACTGGTACTTCCTCGTTGATTGAAGTTGCACAGAAGACAACTTCTCAGTAAACTCGAAAGCAATTGATGCAATTGATGCATGTGACAATGAGACACACAGAAGATGATGACATCCTCCAAAGGAGAAAGGTCAGAAGTCGACATGGGATCCAAACAAAAACAACACCTTTAGATGCAACACGAACGTCACATGTGTCCTCCGTAGCTGCTGAAGCCTCTGCGGACGAAGTTATAAGTAGTTTTGAAATAAATTCGTAATTCAAATCGCGTGGGCACTTTTGGCATTATTGCCTTTTTAGCTTTTCTTTCGAAAAAAAAACTATGTAAAGCAATCTATCTGCACTCGACTCAAAAATATACTAAACATGGGTTTGTATGACCAAACTCGCACTTTGCACGCCACGATTTCTCTGCAATAAAACTGCAATAAAATGTCGCTTCATACACAAAGCATGCAGCAGATACGGAACAGGGCCCGGCAGTAGGGTGCTAATGTCAAGCTAAAAATTGTTCTAGGTAAGTAAGCAAATAGAGATATTGTAAAGTACACTTTCATATGCACATCGCATTTCTTTAACAAGCTGTTGCACGATCGACATCGATGGTATAACATCTTGCTGAGAAAATGCGATGGCGTCGCCGGCAAGGTCAGTAGTTCGCAAAATCCGTAAAGTGCAAATGCAAATTCGTTTTACATATTTATTTCGCCCTCGTGCCAGATCCAGTACGGAAGACAAACTCATAGTATTCACAGTCAGGTTCCATGCTGCATCTATTGCTATGCAGCTCATCGGAACACTTCCACTTTTGAACACGCTTATTAGGTATAAGCTCCACTTGCTCCAAAAGTTCATAAGTGGCCAAACACTCCAAATTAGGCGATTCGTTGACCGCAAGGATTGCTCAAACGTTGCGGACCACGCGCGATGCCGCTGAAATGTTGCGAGAGCACGACTTTTACAACAGTGTGCTGGGGCAAGCCATTACCTCGTGGCGCTCAATCAGCAGTGATGTTCAGCCCGTGCGGTCAACAAATCGACAATGTGAGAAATTTACATGTTCAATTAGAAGATAAATAGCAGATAACAAGGTTGATGTGTACACTTTCCACATTTTTTATTTGTCAAGAGGAAAGCTTTGAAAAATGGCGGAATGCGAGAAGATTACCTTGGACGTGCATATATGTGACATATATAAAGTTTCTTTCAACACGATGAGAACAATCAACATTGATAAAGATCTTCTCCACTTCTGCAAAAAAGTGTCGCGGCAATGGCTCACTCATTTTCGACAGTTAAATTAACTGCTGTATGGATAGAATTTGGGCCTGTTTGGTTTTTGTTCTAAAGGCAATCAAGATTTTGCAGCATCAGAATCAGTCATATTTTTCTGATTCTATATGATCAAAAGGCTTAGCTGAAACCTGATGTATAGGCTTTGACAAAAGTTTTGATAGTTTATAGCAAATGAGCTACAATCAAATGAGCTCTTGACTTACAAAACCGTTGTATTCATGTAATGAGAAATGATATAGTATTAATAGCTGGAATCTCAAGCTTAATGAAACTTTGGCATCTTATATATATAAAGCTGAATGTCTCTTTGTCTGTCTGTAGGTATGTATGTAAACGCTACTGCATGACGAAGGCGCAGAAGCCGTATTAGTTGAGCGGGCGCGAACGCGGTGCTCGCGTATTCTCACGTTGTAAATCTGCCTTTTATGCTCTTTGCGGCTGATAAAGCAGGGTTCGCGCTCAAAGATATTGCGCCTTCGTCTTGCAACAGCGTATACGTATGTGTACGTGCATACATACACGTGTACGTATGTGCGAAAAATATATTTTTATTAAACCGATTTGGACCAAGCTTGGCACACGTATACTTTGGGGCGGGACGGATGTCGTAGCCTACTTTTCGTTATCGATTGATAAGGATTTTTTGCAAAGTTCGAGCTACGGGGCTGGGAGTTGCCACAGAAGGGTAAGTGGGCATGCTGTTTTCGAAAACAACAGGGGCTAGGGAATTGGCATGTAGAGTGGGCACAGGGAATGGTTGTACAGTAACAGGGGTGGGACATTTATCATAGTGTCTTAGCGAGGCCACCCGAAGCCGGATATGCCAGCTACTTGCTCGATATTTCTTACAAGTGTTGTTTAAGCTGCATAATCAAAATCTGTTGCTTTAGTGACACTGGATGACGGAGGTTTCAACTTCTTCAGAGGACGAAAAAGAGGCATTAGTAACCCGTTCGACACTTCTCGTTAATTACAGAAAAGCTAACCTTTAAAAGAGCAAGAGAGAGAGCCGTTGAAAAAAGACAAGTTTAAGCTAATGCTTATCAATAGGTGATATTAAGTTGGCTAGTATTGACATACAAACATGAAAGCCCATAAAGATTCGATTGACCCTTATTCAGTACTTAGCTGACTAGGGAAGGCCTGGAACATGTATACCATTGGACGCGCTCTAGATGATTTCTAGATAATGACTTCTAGATGATTTAGATGATAATCCAAATCCAGTACCTACTGAATTTTTTTTGAAGAAGTCGTGAGCATTTAAAAGCTTGAATACGGCAAAAATACAGTGCCAGGCATCCAACATTTATCTGTTAAAGTACGCTTAGTCATGTTGCAAGTGATTGTATGCGTTTATTGTAGTCAGTACGCTCAACCTATGTTATCTTTACACTCCTAAGCTAATTTTCAACAAATTTAGGACATTAACTACTTCACACTCTTGAAAGCTCATAACTTCTTTTGAAGAAGCACTCAGCAAATACGGAAGGTAGATTCAGAACCAGATCATAAAATGCATTTAATGATATACAATTCCAGTTTGTTACAGGAACTTGGGACTCTCCGCGTGTTAGATTATTTATGAAGCAATTTCAAAACTATACTATACATAACAATTGTTCCATAAATAAATAGGCAATTATGTTGGAAGTCTTACTGCTTGCTTATCAAAAATGTGTTTATTCAGATTTCTATTTCAAAGTTCTTGTTATTGTGGTGAGTGCACGAACGAGTACGCTGAACGATTGAGAT